ACAATACGCCACCCCCTCTATGCTCTCACAGAAGCTTCGAGAAATGCTATCTCTTATAGGACAGAAGGTTAAGAAATGCTATGATCCCAGCACTCTGGAGGCTGAAGCAGAAGGATCACCTCAAGTTTAAGACCAGCCTGGACTACCTAATGAGATGTACTCTCATAAGAAAAGGTGTATGTTTGAGGCCTTGGGAAAGAGGGGTTGCAGCACACTGATCATCTGCACCACAGGCTTTCTTCCATCCACTCAGCATTTCAGGTCAGAAAAGCTGAAGACACAACTGGCCTGGATGATTTCTGCAGCTAAGACAGAACCACAGGGGAGAGCGGCTGAAAGTATTTGTAGAAGAGGAGAAATGGAGGACCCCTGCTGTATAGCACTATAGGCAGAGAAGGATTTAGGCAGAGAAGGATTCTGTCACTGGTCCAAAGTCAGACAGCCAGTGTTTGTGTGTCTGCACCCAAATTAGAAAAGCAACGCAGCTCTCACATAGCATGTGTTATGGTCCTGGCAGGAAAGACACAGCACCCTTCTTCTAAGTGGGTAATTTGAGGAGAGTACAATAAAAAGGACTACTTACCAAAGTGCAGAAGGAGAGAACACACAACAGCAGAGCCACTATGGTGGCTCTGGCAAGAGGACATCTTGACTGGATCTTCTGTAGTTGTGACTTCCAGGAAAGGGAAGCTGCTAGCCCTGATGCCCTGCCAGAAGGGCGTCCTAGGCATAAATAGCTCTCCCTGGGTCTCCCCAACTTCCTATCCCCTCTCCATTCTCCAGGGGTTAAGGGAACATCTTTTCTCAGAGAAGGGTGCAATGTGGAGGAAAGATTTAGAATGGGTGCACAAACATGCTTCCCATAACACAGGGCACTGAGCCCATCTGGGCATCAAACTTCCGAAAATAAGGACAAGCATCTGTCTCCTGAAGTGGCACAAGCATCCTCATGAAAGAAGAGCTTACAATGTCTATGCACTGCATTTAGTCTCAGAATGGGGCAGAGGAGCCATGCAGGCCAAGTTAGTGGTGGAAGGCATCTTTCCTATCAGGAAACTTTCCACTGTTAACAAAATGTCACATTCCCTGTTGTGTGCTTGACCAGCGGCAGCCACGAAGCTGGGCAAATGCCCACCTCCGGACTGTAGATCCCAGTACACCGAAGCACTGCAGCAGGAACAGGAGTCCAAGGCAAAGGAAAAGCCGGCTTCTATTGCTTTGCAGGAGCCCCCGGCTCGCGTCCGTGCCAGCTGGCAGCTACGAGGCTGGAGCCAGGGCGCTCCCTTGCGGACGGGCAGAGCCGGGACCCACCCGCAGCCGCCCTTCTCTCCCTCTTGGCGCCCGGAAGCTCCTGGCTGCTAACCCCGAGGGGCCGGAGGGCTGACTAGCTGGGGAACTGCAGGAGGGTACAGGTTCTTGCGGCAGGAACTCTGCCTCTGGGCCACCGGTTCAGGCACCCCAGGAAATGCCTGCTTTGAGTCCAGTGGAGACCAGAGGTGGGAACAGACCAGGAACGCGGTTGTTCTCCAGGCAGAGCTGGGGACGGGCTCAAGCAGCTGTTTGGGGCAATCACCCAGAGCCTGGAGTCCAGTGAAACATTGCCGGGATCAGTTGACGGCTCAAGCCCGTCATCTTACAGATGTGAAACTTCAGAGCCAGAAAGTGACCGATTGCAGCCCCACAACAGGTTGTTGAAAGGACCCGGGCTGTAGGGTGGGGTGAGCGGCTGCCTCCTCAGAGGCCATAGGTGCGCACCCCACTTGATAATCCTAGGTAAACAGCTGATATAAAACATAAATCTGACAGTTGTGCTGAAATTTTCCATATTCTTTGAGTGCAAAAAGTCGAAGTTTTCTAAAGGTGAATCTTTCATTCAGTTTTGATAATGGCGCTTTGCGGATGCACTGCTGAGGAGCAGTTAAGGGCAGAGGCTTGGCCACCAGCCTTGCGCGGTTTGAACCTCAGGTTTTTATCTGCTCTATAGGATCGTGGGTGACATCGCGTTTGCAAGTGCTGCCTCAGAAGGGTGGCGACAGGTGGGGCTTTCTGGGTGCAGCCTGGGACTCCGAAGCACTGTAGGAGGATCAGCCAGGCGGGCGAATTTGACAGAGCATTGGCTCAGGGTCCGGGTTCTGCAGTGGCCTCACTGCCCAGGCGCCTGCGACCCTCAGACTGCAAAGGCCCGGCAGGCAGCATTGAGCACACTACCGCCGACAGCTTCCATTGTTCCGGCAGTGGGGATTGAACTGCTCGGGGTGGGCCCAGGATGAGACAGGTCCAGAGCTCTCAGCTCTGCGCTGGGCCATTTCCGACGCCCACGTCTTTGCGCTCACTCTCTTTCTTTCTCCCTCCACCCAAGGGGGAAAAGAAAGAAACCCCAAATATAGCTGGTGGCCGAGATATGCAATCGCTCACTTTATGGACTTTGCTAACCCATAAGACAGAGACCATTTTTATTAATACTCAATCAAGCCTGAAGTTAGCCAGTTGGGAGCTACTTTTCACGGAACACACCAATGAGCAACTTCATTTCCCGCCTAAATTTTCTCCCTACATTTTCTCCCTCACACTTCAGAACAAAAAGAGTGGGGCTGGTGCTCCGAAATGGATATGCTATCAGGTTTTAGGTGTTTAACATGAATAAATAATTAAATACATTAAAGTTTAACAGTAATACATTAATTTATTTCATTAAAAACCAAGGGTGATTAGGTCACTTTGGAAGAACAAATATAGCATCCCAGCGAGAGGGAAAAGAAAAGCTGGAAAGAAGTTCTCGCTGAGAATATAAAAGGGGAAAACATCCCGTCCTCTATCCAAGTAAACGATTCGCTCTCAACAGTTGTGTAGGAAAATGTCTTGAGCTTGAGGTAGTTACAGGGAGATGGCTTGGTGCACAAGAGGAGCGCGTGGGTCCGGGGGTGACCGTTGTGTTATCTGAATCCTCGAAAATCAACGCTGTTGCAGAGGCACAATTCCGGACCGCGGTGCTAAAGTTAAATAGGCTTTTTCTTCTCGGTCCTGACGGCGGGGAACCTAAACCCGGGCGAGGCGACCCCTGGGGACATTTACTCCGCAAGGGAGAGTGTGCGCGGCAGTGTCCGCCTTAGAGGGATCAGAGCGCACCTGGGTTCCGCTGCGCGCGGGTGCGGGGACAATGAAATCCGGCGTGGGCGGTGGCCCGGGTGAGTCACCTTGTGGGCGACATTCAGCCACCTGGGCTGCGCTGGGGTCGGAGTCGGAAGGAACACTCTGTCCCGGAACTGAGCGCAGTCAGGCATTGGAGGACCGCGGGCCCCACAGAGAGTGGGTTGCAGTCATCAAAAACTTTCTAAATTCAACCCGGATGAACTAGAGCTAAGACCCCGAATTTCCTAATTCTAAATGCCTGGATGGTCGGGAATGTGGCAGTGTGCAGGAGTATGCAGCGGGCTGCGCCTGCAGCGGGCGAGCGGGTACAGCTACTTAGAAGACCCGTTTCGCTGCCCCGCCCTGCCTGACCCTCCTGCGGAAGACAGAGCTCTAGGGCGGACTTGAGCGGACTTGACTATTGAACAGTGCGACTCATTTAACCGTCATGGATTTGCTTCAAATTGATTTTTAACTTAAAAAAAATTGGTGGCGAAAAACGACACCCAGTAATCAGTGTCACCGCAGCGAGCGGTTTTGAAGGCTTCCCGGTTAACAAGCCGGGCTGTGGATATTGGCTGTACCTTTTTTTTTTTTTTCAGGTAAAGGGAAAGATAGAACATTTTCTCGTATCCAAGGTCTCGACAAACTCATCCTGATAAAACTTCCTAGATGGGACTCACACCACATTTTGACCAGGAAACTTAAAAAAAAAAAATCACACTGCCATCTTCCTGTAACTTCCTCCCTTTCTCCTGACTCCTCCCCGACCTTTGCTCGGAAGTTCGGAGGCTGGAAATTTTTCTTGAGGACAGTTTAAGCCACCTCACTTAACCAGCAGGATGAGAAAGATCAACCCGGGCAAAGGATGAGGAAAAGGAGGGTGGGGAGTTGCTAGCGATTTCCAAATAGGCTTTTCCCTTAAACTTCCTAAATCGGCGTCTGTCCCGAAAGGAGCCCCTCTGGTCTCCAGCGTGGGGTGGTCGGGTTCGCAAGTCTGGATACATCTCCAGGCGGCTTCCACTCCCTTGCCACTCTGCAACATCAGGAGCCCTCCTGCGAAACAGCTGGATGGAAGCTCGCGTCCCAGCATCTGGGCAACTACAGCCAAGGCTGGCTCCCGGGCAGCCGGTGCGGAAATGCGCGCGGGTGAGGTAGCGCACCGCTCAGGGGGGCCGGACCTCTCCCAGCTCACGGTCACTCCAACACCCTTCCCACCGTCTGCTCCTGTCACCAGTCTCTGGCTCCGCCTCTCTGGAACCGCCCCTTAGATCCTACAGCCAATACCAACTCCCGGCCGCTTTCCACCGCCCCGAACTCTTTCCACACCCCCACGTTCCGAAAGAAGATTGGCGCTTTCGCCCGCAGACAAGCGCCTATATTTGCATGGCACTCCCTGCTTCTGGTAGGTAGAACCGCGCGTCACTCCGCCAGGCCAGGCCCGCCCCCTCCACCTCAGTCCGCCGCTCTCTTCCTGCGCAGTTCTCCTCCGCAGCCTCTGCGGGGAAGCGCCGGGGCTGCACCCCAGGCTCAGCGGTCCGGACTGCGAGGTGCGCGCCCGGGCGAACGACCGTGCGCACCGTCTGGAGTGGCCGGCGAGCAGGAGCACGGCGTTCTCCCAGCCTCTCCCGAGCAGCCCCTCCGCCAGCGGTTACCATCCACCCGACTTTCCGTTCCAGTTGCGGCTTCTCCCGGGCAACATGTCAAGAGCCGCCGCCGCTCCAGCTGCCGCCGCCACCTGGAGGAGAGCAGCCACAGAGGCGGCCGCGGGCGCGCGGGGTCAGTAAACCGAGCCGCCCGGACGTCCAGCAGGCCAGGGGACGCTCTCCGTGCTCACTGCTCCGGGGCCCGCGCTATGCGCTGAGCCATGCCCCTGGGCGCGCCCGCGGGCAGCGCATGGGGCAGCGCTTGAGCGGCGGCCGGCCCTGCCTCGATGTTCCGGGTCGGCTCCTGCCGCAGCCGCCGACGCCCCCGCCGCCGGTGAGGAGGAAGCTTGCGCTGCTCTTCGCGATGCTGTGCGTCTGGCTGTACATGTTCCTGTACTCCTGCGCCGGCTCGTGCGCTGCGGCGCCCGGGCTGCTGATGCTGAGCTCCGGGCCTCGCGCCGCACACGCCCCGCCAGCCTTGGCCGCCGTTCCCAATGGGACGCCCTCCAGGCTTCCTTTCCGGGCGCTGCCGGCCGCGGCACTGGCTGCGGGCAAGGAGCTGGCAGAAGGCGCTGCGAGCCAGGAGGAGCAGGGTCCCGAGGCGCCAGACTCCCCCAGCCCCATCTCCAGCTTCTTTAGTGGGTCTGGCAGCAAGCAGCTGCCTCAGGCCATCATCATCGGCGTGAAGAAGGGCGGCACGCGGGCGCTGCTGGAGTTCCTGCGCGTGCACCCCGACGTGCGCGCCGTGGGCGCCGAGCCCCACTTCTTCGACCGCAGCTACGACAAGGGCCTCGCCTGGTACCGGTGAGTCTTCTCTACTGGGCAGGGCCTCCCACCGCGACCCAGAGCTTGTGGAAGGGAGACTTGGCAGTGTCGGGGAAGTGGCAGAGATTCCGTTTCGGACCACCGGGGGTGGGGAGGGCCCGAAGCACTACTTCGCAGAAGCGCGGCGGCGCGTGCAATCCCGCCCCCGCGCGGTTCCCGGTGCGCCCGGCTCGGCTCTGGCCGCGACCGAGACAAACTTCCTTCGGAGCGCGGGCGGCGCAGTGGTGCGTGGTGCCCTCGGATTAATCTGGCGGCCTCGCCTGGAAGATGCGGGCAGCGGCTGAGAAAGAGCCTGAGGAAGCGGGGTGCCCCCAGCACGGCGATGTCCCATGCTAATCATTCCAGGGTTGCTCGTACTTTATTTTCTTGTCGGGGCCCGGGACGCTAGAAAGAGCGTTCTGTGCCTCTCGGATCACAGCCTCCTCCTTAGACCAACTTCTAGAACAGCTTCTGCTCCCCAGATGGGAAGGGGTGGGGGTGGGAATGAGGGCGCTCTGCCAAAGCTGCTGAGAGTCTGTGAACTTTTTTGTTGCAGCCGTAGTCACTGGAACCTTAAGGGGTTCAGACCGCCTCCCTCAAGAGCCGCTTGGGCTCCAGAGGGCGAGCTGGGAGGTGGCTGTGCGCCTCCGCCGGCTGTGGAGCGTGGAGCGTGGAGCGGTGCTGGTCCCTGTCGGGCAAAGGCGCGCACTGCAGCGCCCTCCGCAGCGCGCGGTTTTGAAGGCTTCCCCGCATCCGCACGCACTGCCGCGCGTTTCCGCCTCCCCGTCGCGGTGCTGGGAGAACCAGAACTCGGGTCACCGCCCGCCCTGTAAACATCGAGGTGCACAGAATGTTCCGAGCCTTTTGATTGAGAAATGCTCGTTTCGAGGTCGGCTTCGGCAGTTCTGTTCTCAAATGGGTTGTGAATCCTGTTCCAAAGGGACAGCGGGGCTGGGGTCACCAGCGCTGATTCCCGGGGGCTACGGGTCTGTGGGGTGAGCAGCTGGGAGGGGGGTGAGGTTCTTGCCTCCCCTTTCCAGGCCCCAGACACTGGCCCCCACCCCACCTTTCTGGTTACCACGTCTGGCTCCATCCGGCAGGACTAACTAGCTCCAGTCTCCGGCACTTTTCTAGGCCCAGTTAGCTTCAGAGGGACTTCAGAGTTCTAAAAACAAAGGCAGAAAAGCGAACCGAACCCTACCCCCAGTCGGCACTCAACTTTCTGGATCCAGATGGGGTGGAGAATCAAAATACAAAAGGGACTGACCCAACGGATTAAAAGCGCTCTTTTCCCAGCCTCGCCCTCCCAGAATGCTTTGTCTTTCATGTTTGTATTATTGTCGGGAGGTGCCCACGTCTCGAGGGTTAGCCAGCCGTGACAGCCACCCTTCTGACTATTCCCAGGACGCCGTTGATTAGAAACGCGCGGGCTCTGGAATCCGACGCCTGGATTCAGTCCGGGCTCAGACTGCGCCTGGGCGCTCTCGTCTGCGCCGGGAGATCAGCTGGGGCGGCAGGTCTGCGGAGGGAGAACGCACGGCGCAGTCAGGTGCGGGCGTGGGGCCTCCCCACTTGTCAGCTGCGGTCTTCGATTGTACTGATGCACTTCTACCCCTCCTACCCTCCCCCTGGGTACGACTCCGGGTTGAGTGGCAGGGCCGTCCTAGAGCCCATCCCGGGGAACCCGACGAGCCCGGGGAAGCTCAGGATTTTGTGAGATCTGATACGCTCGGGGCCGGGTTGGGAGGAACTGGCAGGAAAATCACCGAACCCTTCATTCATATCAAGCGGTTTTAGAAGGATCTGGGCAGGTTGTGGAAATCCCCACCGGAAGATTCCCGCAGTCTCTCCTAGGCGGATGCCCTCCGCAGGCCACGTTCCTTTTAATTGACTCTCACATGCGGAGAGAAGCCGGTGCAAACTCTTCGCGGGCGCCTGCGGCAGGGAGCGCAGCCCGGGAGCTCGGGCCGCATCCCCAGCCAGCCGCAGCGCTGGGCGGGCTGGACCGAGGAGGCTTGGTCAGGGCGTGCGACATGGGACACTCTGCACCCTTCCGTGCCTGTTCCCTAAACTCACCCGCAGCACCGCAGGGAGCGGGAGGCGCAGAGCCTGCGGCGGTGACCCAGGAGGAGCCGAGTGCTAATGTGGCAAGTGCCCCAAAAGACCCGTCCTCGGACCGCCTCAGCAGGCGTGGTGATATCGTAGTGTCAGGGGATACTTTTAAGAAAAAAAGCACTTTAAATGCAATCTACCTAATTAAAAGTTTAATTTACAGTATTCCAGATATCTGAGTGAAATTTTCGAACTGCACAATTATTTGGAAGGCGGCCGTTTTCACTTTAAACTGAATAAGCCCTGGAACGTCCGAGTCAGACAGATTTGCCTAACATCGGGTGTCCAGGGTACACCCTTGGCCCAAGCTGGAGTTCGCTTTGCTTGAAAAATCCATGCTTCGAGTTGAGCTCTGTGGCATCTTCTGACGTGTGGTACGGTCAGGCAGCCAATTGGAGAAGAGTATAAATAATAATTGATGCAAATCAGAAACATGGTTAAAACAAATTTTTAAAACCAGAACATTAAAAGAGGAGATATTTATTGGCATTTAAGGGAAAAAAAAAAAAACATATGGCTATGGATGATTGAATCAGAGGGTCACCAGGTAATCTGTTGGAGAACAGGTCTGGCTGTGTCTGAACAAGTCCTTAATAGGTTTAATGGGTTGACACAGCCCTACCAGGGTCCTAAGCAGTAGCCCAGGGCCTGGGCGGATTTGCATGACCCCTTGGAACTGGAGGATGGTTCCTTCCACTTGTCCCAATTCCACACCTTCAGCTCCCTGAGGGGGGTGGTGGTAGGATGGAGCCGCAGAGGAGGCAGCGTGGAGCTAAACCCCCTCACCTACCCGAGTGAGAGTTTGCTGCTGCAGAAATCTGGCTGCTTGGTGCTGTCCATCTGCCCCGGAACCTGAGTTTGTTTTAGTCTGTGGTTAAGATTCTTCTGGGTTTGCTTTTCCAGTTCATTATCCAGCTTTCTCCAGCCAGCCTCCCAAACTTAACAAGTGCTGACACGGACCCCTCAGAGTGGCTTGTGGAGCTCTCTGATGAAACTGGCCTTTACCTCTAGGTCCCTGGGTGTGATGGAGTCTGAGAAATGAAGGTCTGCGGTTCGGAGAACTCGAAGAATGCAAAGGTGGAGGAAACATCCACTGTGGACATTTAAACTTGGCATATTGATTCATGCTCAGATGGTCAAACAATTAAATATGCAATTTTAAAAGTTTCTTATTTGCCTTAAGTTTTGGTAGAGTTTTAATAAATGTTAGTGACCTCACTTGGGGGAGTAAATTGCTCCAATATTGTATGATTTGCACTGGTTACAAATATGCTTCAGATTTTGTAGTGGCAGAAACTCATCTCCCACCCTGACTCGCCCTCCATTTTTAGTTATACAAAATAAGCTGATACTTGAACGCTGTGGCCAACACTTGAAAAAGTGTGTGTGTGTGTGTGTGTGTGTGTGTGTGTGGTTTAACAACCTTGGTACCTAACACTTACTAAATGTTTTCTCAGTGTGCCATGCACTGTTTCAGGTTTTAGAGAATTAGCAGATTTAATCCTCATTACAGTCCTGTGCAGTAGGTGCTTTTACAGATGAGGAAACTCCAGTACTGAGAGGTTAAGCAACGTGCCCAGCCTTTCACAGCTGGAAAGTGGTTAAGCTAATATATCAAGCCAGGCAGCCTTGTTCCAGAGCTCATTCCGTGCCGTGCTCCCTTCATTTAAGTGACCAGAACAATATGTTGGTCATCTGTGATGAGTTCAAAGCAGTATTTGCTTTAAGAGACTTTGAAAGTTTTCTGACTGCCTCCATGAATCTCAGTGTGGATGGCTCACTTTAAAAGTTCAGTTTTAAAACAGGCTAGTTAATAATATCCCAAGTTGGTATATAACTAGATTGAAGGCCACGGTGGCACTTTTATTTCCCTGCACAGGACAGCTAGAATCAAAGGAGTCATTAAAATGACAAAAATATCCCTCAAGTATAGATGAGTCATTAAAATGACAAAAATATCCCTCAAGTATAGAGGAGTCATTAAAATGACAAAAATATCCCTCAAGTATGAGAAAACATATAGAGTGTCCCTCCTGAGGAATAGATTTAGTCTCTGCCATTTGCCCTTCTCAGGGCTGGAAAGTAAGCCATAGGGTTAAATGGCATCTTCTAAAACTCCTTGAAACCACTCTATTCATTTAAAAAACAGAGTGTCCTCAAATCAATGCAAGTAATTAGCTTGTACTTATTAACCAGAAGACAGTTATAGTTAACACTTTGAGCAGATATCTTTACAACTGAGACCCAAAACCCAGTGACTGCAGAAACTGCTCTCTTGAAAGCTAATAGCTAAACATAGCAGTTTCCCCTGCATTATTAATTTAACAAAGGCTGAGCAAACTAATCCATCCCCCCTCGCAAGTTTTCCTAAGTCTTTTCCTAAAACCTGGTGGCTGAGACTGTTTCTGTCTCCACTGAGGGAAATATAAGATAAGATCTGATTGCGGCTAATTCATTTTGAAATAACTGGACTTTCAGTCCTAGAGTTTAGACAAAGTATGCAGCTCACTTCCATGCTGCTGGGGGAAGATCAGAAATCTACATTTAAATGCAACAATTTGAAATACAAACCATCATGTTACAAAGCTGTCAAGATTTATTAGCAAGACAGTGTAGCATGTGTTGAACTCTGTTTTTAATTAGGCACCTAAATTAGACCATAAAATGGTTGATTAATCTTTTACAAGTTGAGGGGAAAATATAACATAAATTAACCTAATCATAAGTGTTTTCCCAGATGCTCTGACTTAATAAAATAGTCAATATTTAATAGCAACCTATTTGTTTTAGATAAGTAAAGTGCTGCAATGTAGAAATTAAATTACACTCTTATCTTCCAAATGATATGTTATTATTGAGCAAGTCTCTAAAATTTAGGTTGCAGCCCA